CTCCCCCTCTCCCCCTCTCCCCTCTCCCCCTCTCCCCCTCTCCCCCTCTCCCCCTCTCCCCCTCTCCCCCTCTCCTCCCCTCCCCTCTCCCCCTCTCCCCTCTCCTCCCCTCTCTCCCTCTCTCCCTCTCTCCCTCTCTCCCTCTCTCCCTCTCTCCCTCTCTCCCTCTCTCCCTCTCTCCCTCTCTCTCTCTCTCTCTCTCTCTCTCTCTCTCTCTCTCTCTCTCTCTCTCTCTCTCTCTCTCTCTCTCTCTCTCTCTCTCTCTCTCTCTCTCTCTCTCTCTCTCTTCCCCCTTGTCTCCTTCGGCCCTTCGCCAGACGCCAAACGGCAAACGGCAAGCGCCTGACGCCCGACGCTCCACCCACCTCGCCATAAGCCGCTGCGCCACTCGCCACGGCTCGCGCGGCCATTCGCGCGCGCCGAATGCGCTGCTCCTCGTCCTCCTGCGCGCGTTCGTCGCTGCGCGCTTCCCACTCCATCGCCTCCCTCACCGCGCGCTTCCGCCGCTCGTGCTCGTTCCGCCACTCCCATTGCGCCACGTGTAACCGTTCCCGCCACCGCCGGTACTGCTCGCGGTCTAGCGCGTCTTGCGCCAGCAGCGACAGTAGCAGGCGTGCTTCGTTAGGGAGCGCGGCAGTGGGGAAGGGGAAGGGGAAGGACGGCGATTGTAACGCGGCTATGGCTGCTTCGGCTGACGACGCGAGTTCTGCAGAGTCTGTAAGGGGCGGAATGTCTTGAATTGGATAAAGCTTGTTGAGTAACGAATCGTCCACTATCGGGTCATCCTCGGGGAAATCATCGTCCGCGAAAGAATCATCGGCAGGGGCACCGTCCTCTATAGGAACATCCGTTACAGCGTCACCGGTTACAGGCCCATCGAATAACCCCAGCTTGGAAATATCCGAAATTATTTCAACACCGTCAGCAATGGCATCGTCCAGTAGCGGAGCATTATCGACGAGGTTAGTGGTAAGCGCGGCATCCGTTACTGGACCATCCGTTACAAGCTCGGTTTCCGCTAGTTGCCTGCGATCATCTTCTTTCAATTCGGTAGTCAATGTTGCATCTTCCGGCCCCTCCCTTTCTCGTGCCGCTGCTCTCGCTTCACACGATTCTGCAGCCGCTCCCATGATTTTGCCAAACTCCTCGCCATCGTTCCCTGTCACCCCCTCTTCGCGTTTCGCCTCCTCCGCCGTTTGTTCCGACCCATGGTCGCCCCAGTCCCTCAGCGATTCCTCACCGTGTTCCGCTCCGCCCTTCGTCTCGTCCCGCCGATCGTTTGCCCCGCATTGACTCGCCGCGCCGTCATCGTTTTCCGGGTTGTGACTGCGCGCATCGCCCTCCGGCGCGCGGTCAACGTTCGCATCCCCGCCGGCTGCGCCGCCCGCGGAAGCTGCAGCTGCGGCTGCGGAGCTCGGGGGAACTTCACCGTCGTCGGCGTCTTCCGCGGAAGACAGTCCATTCTGCAAAGCGGCGGTTGCGCGTTCCGGCTCACCTAATGCCCTCTCTCCAATTGCGGGCTCCGCAAGACGCGCGACGCCCACTTCGTTAACAGTATCGAAATCGTCGAACGCATCAGAGACAGGTGCTGATGGGAAGGACGGCTCTAAATGGCCCAATTCAGTTTCGAATTGGGTAGTACGAGGTTGACAAGCAAAAGAACCAGCAATGTCAGTGGCGTCTGCTGCAGCAGTGGTGCTGGGATTAGCCGTACCATCTTTCTCAGAATCAGGACTCTTGGGTGCGGGCGGGCTTGAAGATGCCATTACAGTACTAATTACTGGGGAGAGGTAGAGGGCAGAGGTGGGGATAAATCACGGAGAGGGGGTTGGAGAAGAAAGGGTGTGAAGAATGGGAGTCCAGATGGCGGGGCGAATTAGTGGGGCGAACAAGACCGCTCCCAACGAAACCCCACCCGACGAAACGAAACCACAGAACTCCCAACCCCCGAGTCCTGGGTCCCCAGCCCCGACACCCGACAAACGAAAGCGGGGATGTTCCGACTCCAGACCAGCAGGACCCAGTGAAGGAGTCAGCAGATATTCGAATGTTTGATTTTTTTTTCGCGAACAAGTCTGTTGGGTTAGAGTTTTGTGGTTTTCCTCGCTCCCCGAATTAAAAACCTTTCCCACTTCGCCCAACTTATCTGAATTGAGCTGCGAAACACGGGAGCGGAATGCACCTGATAACCCACGAATTGGTTTTTGCGGGACCTCGACAGCACGCCATTGTATGCCTCAACACAGGTGACCCTCGGGTTATTGCGTGCAAGAATCCAACCGCCCTCTACACAAGTTTTTGCCTGTTCGAGTTTTTGTGAGTGCCTGCTCTCTGGACGGATTCCTCGCCAGGGTGATGCGCCTGGAAATTATGCTCCGATTATCTTGAACACTCCCTGCCATTCTACAGTTGGGCGTCTCATCATGATAAACAGCTGTTACGAGTGCACTTGAGTGAACGAACGAGAATTGCACTATCGAAGCAAGAATACAAATGAGCGAAGGCATGAGCGAACATTATATAGCGAAACTACAGTGGTAACGGTAATGGTCGCGCGACGAGCCTGGGACTGAGGTTGGGAAAGTGTCGAAGCGTAGGTCCGGAGCGCGGGTTACCAGCCGAGCCGTGAGGTCGGGATGCGATGTGCGAAAAGGGCGGGATGATGAATGATGCGATGGTCGCGAGTGGTAACGGTGCTGACTAAGGTGCTATAGTGATGTACGCGTTGAGCAGGGACGCGAAGTAAGGAAAAGGGAATTTCCTTACACTACCCCCCCTCCTAAGGAGGTCCTCCTCATGAAAGCGCGTAGATGTCTCGGAAATTGCGGCTACGCAGGTAGTCGGTGACGACGGGGTGACTTTCAATTTTCTCCAGGGGAACCCAATTGTCATCGGTGGGGGTACGATCTTTCCAGCGGATCAGAAACTCCACTTTTCGGGCTCCTCGAGGGTCGCGAACTCTGTGGCTCATGATCTTGTCGAGGGTGATGACTGGTTCGGTTGGTGGTCGTGTCATGCTGGTGGGTCGATGTCGTGGGAGTTGGCTGGTGGATGGCACGTAAGGGCGAAGTAAGCTGACGTGGAACGAGGGGCTGACGTACCAGTCAGTAGGGAGGAGGAGGTGCGCGGTGACTGGCGTAACCATGTGACTGATTCGAAATGGCCCACAGTATCGAGGGCGGAGTCTTGGAGTGATGGGCAGGCGGAGGTTCTGAGTGTCGAGTAAAACGAGGTCGTCGGGCTGATAAGTAACGGGTCTGCGATGGCGATCGGCGTTGCGTTTAGCGATGATGTTTGATTTTTTTATTGCTTCCGCTGCCCTGTGTCAGAACATATAGCTTACCTGTTTGTGTAGGCTACAGTGGGGTATCCCATAAGGGGTACAACACAATTAGGTTTCCCATTTTGTACCAATTTCTGACTTAGTCATTTCATTCCTGTTTACCTATCTTCACATGGTATAGAGCGGGTCCCTCTTAAGGACCGATTTTTTTTAGGGCCCACCCACGATATTCTCTCTGCCCGGAGCGCCCTACTCTCCCCGAGGCGCGCTCCCCCCCCCCCCTTAGTGCATTTCCCGCTGCCTTTGTGGGCCCCCCCGCGAGTAGCGCGCGAATTTTTTTTTTTAGCGCGCGCGGCTCGGGCCTACGTCGCGCGGGCTTTACGGCCGCGCCGCGCCGCCCTCTCGGCCCGGCTGTGCCCCGCCGCCCTCGAACCGGCCACGCGGCCGCTTCGTCGCGGCCGCGGGCCCCGTTTTTGACGGCCCCGCCGTCCCTTTTTTGACGGCCCGCCGCTGCATTCTGCCGGCCCCGCCGTTTCCTGTCACGGCCCCGCCGTCCCCTCTCCCGGCCTCGCCGCTGCACCTTCCCGGCCCGCCGCTGAGCCCTGACGGCCCGCCGCTGCACCTTTTGACGGCCCGCCGCTGCACCTTTTGACGGCCCGCCGCTGCACCCTGACGGCCCGCCGCTGTACCTGCTGACGGCCCGCCGCTGCACCCTGACGGCCCCGCCACTGCACACCCGGCCCCGCCGTCCCCTGTCCCGGCCCGCCACTGCACCTGTCCCGGCCCACCGCTGCACCTGTCCCGGCCCGCCGCTGCACCTTTCCCGGCCCGCCACTGCACCTGTCCCGGCCCCGCCGGCCTCTGGCCAGGCCCCGCCGCTGCACTGCAGCCGGCCCGCCCAGCAGCAGCCGAGCCGCCCAGCAGCAGCCGAGCCGCCCAGCAGCAGCCGGACCGCCCAGCAGCAGCCGAGCCGCCCAGCAGCAGCCGGACCGCCCAGCCGCAGCCGAGCCGCCCAGCAGCAGCCGAGCCGCCCAGCAGCAGCCGGACCGCCCAGCAGCGGCCGAGCCGCCCAGCAGCACCCGAGCCACCCCACAGCTGCCGAGCTGCCCGGGAGTCGAGCCGCCTTTCTGCTGAGCTGCACGACTTGCCCTGCCTGGTGAGCACAGTCCCTCTGTCACTGCGCCCTCTTTCCCTACTGCTTGCACTGCTTCGCTGTCGTCATCATGGCCACCCCTAGTGTCCTAGCCTTTGACGCCGAGGGTCGCGCCATTGATTTTGAGGTCTGGCTAGACGACCTGCAGCTTTTCTTACAGTGCGACAGAGCTGACAGCCTTTCTCTCTTTGACCTCACCTCTGGCGCCTCTCCTGCTCCTGCTGCCGATGCTGATCCCACTGTCCGCTCTCAGTGGGCCACCCGCGATGCTGCTGCACGTCTTGCTGTGCGTCGCCACCTCCCTACCTCTGAGCGTGCGCACTTTAGTCAGTACAAGAGTGCTCAGACCTTGTACGACGCTGTAGTTGCGCGCTACTCCTCCCCTGCCACTGCTGCACTGAGCCGTCTCATGCTTCCCTACCTCTTTCCTGACCTCTCTGTCTTTCCCACTGTCGCTGACCTCATTACGCACCTCCGCACTAGTGACACTCGCTACCGCGCCGCCCTTCCTGCTGAGTTCTGCGCTAAGAACCCCCCCCCCATGTACATCACTCTCTACTACGTAGTCGCGCGCCTCCCTGACTCCCTCCGCGTAGTCAGGGACCACTTTCTCGCAGTCTGTCCCACCACTCTCACCGTCGACCTCCTCGAGAAGGCCCTCCTCGCAGCGGAGAAGAGCATAGTCGCTGTAGGTGCCTCTCGTGGTGACCCTCGCACCCCCATCTTTGAGGGGTGCTCTCCTTCCCCCTTGCTGCCCTCTGTTGCCTCTGCTGCTGCGGCCGACCTGCTTGGTCTTGAGTCGGTCGGCGCGGCGTCTGCCCCTAGTGGGAGACGTCGCTCTAGCAAGGGCAAGGGGGGCAAGGGCGCGGGCGGAGCTGGAGGGGGCGGTGGCGGTGGCGGCGGAGGCGGCGGAGGGAGTGGGGGTGGCGGCGGGAGTAGTGGTGGTGGTGGTGGTGGTGGTGGCAGCAGCGGCGGAGACGGCAGTGGTAGTGCCAGCGGTGGTGGTGGAGGCAGCAGCGGGAGCGGAGGCGGTGGAGGTGGAGGCAGTGGAGGCGGCGGCGGAGGAGGCGGTACTGGTGGAGGAGGTGGAGCTGGTCGTGGTGGTACCCAGCAGCGGAGCGGCGGTGGTGGTGCCCAGCGCTCGCAGCGGCAGCAGCAGCAGCGTTCGCGGGACATCCCTCCGCCTCAGCAGCTTCGTGAGTGGTACGCTGCGCGTCAGAGGGGTGGGGGTACTGGTCCCTGCGCCTACGTTCTTCGTTCCGGCGACCGCGCGGGTGAGCAGTATGGGGGTGCCCACTCCACCCAGCGCTGCTTTGGCCGCCTGACGGACGCTTGGCGTCAGCAGTTCCCCGGGGCTAGTGAGATCCCTCGCTGGGATGAGCTCCTTAGGGCTGGTGTAGCGATCTTTGATCTTGATTTTGATGCTATCCTTTCTGCTATGTATGCTGTGACTTATAGTGAGGAGAATGAGGGTTACCGGTGTTTCCAGCCCGACCCGGGCATTGGTCCTGCTGCGCTAGGTACTTGTGAGGCTGCTGCTCTAGGTGCCAGTGCGTCTGCGCTCTCAGGTACTAGTGAGACTGCGCTCTCAGGTGCTGGTGAGACTGCGCTCTCAGGTACTGCGTCGCCCTCGTCCTCCCTCACTTTCACACTTGACTCTGGGGCTTCTCGCTCCTTCTTTCGAGACCGCACTACCCTTACGCCTCTTGGCCGGCCGGTTGCGGTCTCCCTTGCTGACCCCTCTGGGGGTCCTGTCCTGTCTCACTTCTCCACTGTCCTCCCGTGTCCGGCTGCCCCTTCGGGCACCCTGTCTGGTCTGTACCTTCCCTCGTTCTCTACAAACTTGGTGAGTGGTGCGGACCTACAGGATGCGGGGGTTCACCAGTTCACTCCTGCGAGGCGACGGGTGACCCACTGCACGGACGCAGACACAGGCCGACACCTGGCCACCTTTTCGCGTCGGCCGGGGTCGAGTCTCTACACCCTGACCACTTCGTCTCCTCCTGTCCCTGCGTCTGGTCGGGTAGCTGCGTCAGGTCAGGTGTTTGCTGCTGCTTCCCGGTCAGGTCCTGAGTCTGCCCCCTGTTCTTGTCGCCTCCTGTCTCACGAGACTCTCCTGTGGCACCACCGTCTTGGCCACCCCTCCTTGCCCCGTCTTCGGAGCATGGCTTCCCGTGTCCTTGTCTCTGGTCTTCCCCAGTCTCTCCCTCCTCTCCCCTCCGGGCCAGGACCTTCCTGTGTCCCCTGTGTCGAGGGTCGCCTCCGGGCTACTCCTCACTCCTCCCACTTCCCCCCGACAGAGGCTCCCCTGCAGACGCTTCACATGGATG